CTGCTCTGGGGTGACCTCACCTTGGATATTGTGTGCAGTTTGGGGTGCCACAGTGTAGAAAAGGCACTGGGCCATTAGAGAGTGTGCAGAGGTGGTGAAGTGTCTGGATGGGAAGGCATGCAAGGAATAGCTGAGGTCACTTGGTCTGTTCAGCCCAGGGAAAGGGAGCCCTCACTGCAGTTCCAGCTGCCTCACCATGGGCAGGTGCTGATCTCCCCTCTATCAACCACACAGGACTGGAGGAAATGCCACCAAGCTGTGGCAGGGGAATTTTAGGGTGGATATTAGGAAAAGGTTCTTCCCCCAAGGTGCAGTCAGGCACTAGAGAAGGGAATGGTCCTGGCACCAAGCCTGACAGTGAAAAAAAAGCATTTGGACAAAGCTCTCAAGCACATGGTGACATTCATCCTGTACAGGACCAGTTGAACTTCTGTGATGTTAATGGGTGCCTTTAAACTCAGGATATTGTATGATCCCCCCTAAAGAGACCAGGATGATATTCAGCAGAGTTCCTTGGGTCTCCCTAGTTACTCTGGTTCAACACAGACACAAAGCACAGCTCAAATTCTCCCTTTGGGACCTGGCAGCTCGTGCAGTGCAGCAGTTTCAGGATAAGTGGGGAATTTGTTCATACCATCTCAAGTACCAGATACTTTCAGCTATGTTTGGTCTCCTAAGGATACAGCAGTCACAGAACATCAAGCAAATTCCACAGGATCAGCAACCTTAAAAATCTCTTAAATTAATAATGCTCAGAGTTACCAGGCAATGCTTACCAAAAAAACACCCATATACATAAAATCAGATTGATTTAGGTTGAAAAGAACCTTAAAAACCCTTCCATGGACAGGGACACCTTCCACTAGACCAGGTTGCTCAGTGTCCCATCCAGCCTGGCCTTGAACACTTCCAGAGATGGGGATATCCACAGCTTCTCTGCATAACGTATTTCCACATCTCAACTCAAGAATTTCTTCCTGATATCAAATCTAAACCCTCCTCCTTTCAGTTTAAGGCCATTTCCCCTTGTCCTAGCACTGCAGGTCCATGTAAAAAGTCCCTCTCCAGCTTTCCTGCAGGCTCCCTTTAGCTGTACAACCCAAACCCTGTGGAACACCCCTCACCTCTGCTCTCCACTTGCTCATCAAACCGCAGCTCTGAGCTGTGACCATCCAGGCAATTCCTTTTTCACTGAGCAGTCCATCCATCAAACCCATACCTCGTGTAGCCACAGCTCTGAACAAGGTTTATGGAAATAAACACTAAACTGTGAGCATATTTGCACATAAACTAGTTTAAAATCTAAGAGTGGCAAAGTACTTGAGACTAGAAATCTCAGTACAGCTCTGCTCTCCAAAATGTACAAGTTGCTATAAAGTAATGGCTTACAGTTCCCAAACTAGAATGATACCCAAAATGACTATCAAATACAGATTAAATTCTTCATAATTATGCTGAAATCCAGAACATTGGCAGCTCATGCAGATTGTATAGGTGGCTGCTATTTGTGGAAATTGATGCCACAAGAGAACTGTTTTCTTGTTGAGAAGTCTCTACAGACTGAAGAGAGAATCTCCTCTCCCTAAGTAAATTGGAGAAAGACTATTCTAGAGATGGTAAACTGACTGATTTGTGCCTGTACATTATCAGTGTGAAAGAAAAGAGGTTTGGGAGGAAGAGAAGTGTTCTGGAAGTTTTATTCTGATTCTTAGTATTTTTTCTTGTAGTTCTGTTAACAAAGCTTTTGTTTATACCCTTTAAAGTTGGAGCTTGTTTTGCCTATCTCATAGGAGGAAAGGAGTAAATAATTCTAGTGGATGCACTGGTAATTTAGTCAGAGCTAAATCCACTACAATAATTGGTACACTGGCTGAGAAATCTCAAATTGGCAAATTAAAACCACTACACACATACTAATAAGCAACTTAAAGGATTTGGGCTCTCCTTTGGCTGGCTGCCACGTATTCCAGGAGAATCAAGAAGCCATTCCAAGCTTCCCAAGACATTCCTTCCGTGTAAGGGGAGTGGAAGGAAACTCTTGCTAGGATGTGTTTTTCCTTGGAATGAGCCAGCTGAGCAGGAGGGGCATTTTTCTCACACGGTTTCCTGCAGTCCTGCCAGGTCACCAAGGCACAGAAGGCAGCACTGGCAGAGGATACAACACAAGTGTGGTGCCCTCTGCTAATCCACACGAGGAATTAACAGCATGGCACAGCTAATTGCTCTGCAGGTGTAATGTGCCACGAGTGCTGCAGCAAACCAACAAATAATTCACCCCTCAGCAGGGAGGTGACAGAGCACATCCATCTCAGGCACACCAGGACCCAAGTAATTAATTCTAATGATCCATCAGGAGCACAGTCAGCCTCTGACAGCCCAAACTTGCAGAGACAAGCAATACATCCTTTCAGCCTTTAGCTGCTGAAATTTAGGAGCCTGGGAGGAGATTGCCCAGCTTCTCCAGCACTTCCAAAACAGAGCATCTTAGTAACTGCTCTGCAAACACAATAAAAAGTCAAGTGGCCAAAGACACTGGTACTACTTGTGTCTTCTGAGTTATAAATAGAGCACACTGCATGTGCTTTCATTGCTTGGGATATCCTCCAAGGAAAGGCAGGCTGACAAAAAAAAAAAAAAAAAAAAAAATCACATCACATTTGTGATGGCTTTTCACACCCAAAGGGCTCAGGAAACCCATGCTCTGGAAGTCTGTTGCTATTAAAGCAGAACAAGTTCTTCCAAGTTGTAACTCAAAGTAGATTTCACCCAAATTCTTGCCAGATGCAACCAGAGTCTGTTTGTGCCCAGTGCAGCTGGTAACACATTTGTTCTCACTGATATCATGGAAAGGCAAAGGAGAAATTAAAACATGGCAAAGTCACCCTGGCACCATGCTTCATTCAGAGATGACAGCACCTTGGTAGCTGAAAACACAGTTACTATGTTGGGACATATTTTAAAATAATTTCAGATGGAAGAGCTACAAAAATCAACGCTCTGGGAAACCAAGCAATCAGCTATAAGCTAACCATGGATTACATTCAGCTTAAAGTAGCTTCCTTGTTAGGATATTTCAGCAAAGAAGAATGTTGTAATTGGCTCATTTCCAAGGTTCAGAGGTCCTGTAGCCATGTACATAATTAGTTTATCATTTAAAATTGCTTTTCCTTGGTCTGTACAGCCACACCAGTGGTTTGACTCGGTGCTGTCACAAGCTGTCGAGGGCAGATGATACCACAGAGTCAGACTGTGCTGCCTTTATGGTGTTATAATTGTATTTACTGCACTTCCCGTGCACAAGAACATTCTCAACACAGTTTGCATCCTGAATATGCCTCTTACTGCTCTGCATGCAGGAGTGTGACCAACAACATATCAGAACTGCCTCAATTACTGAGAATTTGAAATAAGAAAATATTTCCTCTCATTTAGCAACACCTGCCCAAAAAGAAGCTGCTAAACTACTCTCCAAGTAATGCAAACCTACTGCCAGCTTTTAGAGTAGAAGAGGCAAGCAGTCTCCATATCCACACTTGGAACCATGACCAAGGGAAGGGAAGAACCTGGTGAATTAAAGGGTTTTTAATGCAAGCAGTTGGTTGCATTTGGGATTAATCATCTCAATAGAATGTTAAATTGTTAGGTCAACTCCATATAGCAGCATGATCATGGTGAAATAAAATCACATTGCAATAGGGATTGAGAAAACTGCTTTACAAAAGCATCAAAATCCAGTAAAGTACATGGTTTGGAAATTGGTGAAATTGCATATTTCACAGTTTTCAAGTTTCCTGCCTTTAGAAGGCTTGACTATATACCAAATCCAGCTACCAATTAATCTGTTGCATGTGTTTACTTGTGTTATCTTAACTATGTAGTAGCTGGGTTTGCATTTACTTTGTAGTTTTTCTAGGAAAACACATGGAATGGTGAGCAAAGGAAAAAGAGTTTAATCACTCCAGGCTTGACAAGAGAGCAAAGAGACTCCACTGTAGAGTCTGCAGCCATCCCAAATGTTCACACAGCCCTGAGTGCAGGGTCTCCTGTTCCTGAGGGAAGCAGCAATAACAGTGTCCAGGGATGGGAAGGGAAGATTGGTGTGCAGCAGAGACTGCTCAGTGCAAAGGAGTTTTTCCAACAATTGTCAGCTACAATTTTCCCTTGATGCTGTGGAGATGCCAACAGACTGGCCAGATCACTGGTTTGGTCCATAATGACAATTCTCACATTCCAGGGCAAACAAAACAAGTCATCACATAAGCAAAAGCACTCCTAAAGTCCAGCTATTTATGGCTAATAGCCCACACCCTTAAACTTCACTTCCCAGCAGCACAAAACATTCATAGATTCTCCAGCCCCCACTTCTGGAAAATTCACCTCCTCTGGGAACAAACATTTCAGCATCTTCATGCCCTGAAAAGGGGTCCCCAGCCACCAAGGCACAGATTCCAGTGGAGCAGCAAGGGCTGGGGGACCACAGGTGACCTTTCAGCTGCTGGCACAAACCAAATGCTCATCAAGTCCATGCTGGATATGTTGCCTGCATTTGTCTTACACACAAATGCTGGTTTTCTCTTGGAGTTGTTTCCTTTTTATTTTTTTAAACAAAGACATTGAAGCAGGCCAAAGATTGGAAGTCTAATCAAATTTAACCAACAGGCTTGCAGGATGGTGGAGAAAAGAGGGATTGGTATCAGCTGAGCATCCTCATCAGTGCATCAGAAAGGGAATTTAACAAAAATAACTTCTTCAAAAAGAAAGTTCACAAGCCAGCCTTGGGTATTCTGAAGGCAAATTCCTACCACAAAATTAACACTCAGATCTGCAAACCTTCATTGTGATGAAGAGTGAGACTTTTTGATCACAATCCCCTTCCAGCAGCCAAAAAACTCTGGTGGGAGCCCCAGGGCTGAGGCAGCAACAGCCTCAACTCCACTGGGTAACCCCCAAATCTGCAGGTCCTGCTTCACCCCTTCAATATCCCACCAAGATCTTACAACATGCTTATTTAAAACAGGTTATTCCTTCTGCTACCTAAGGATTTTAAGGCAGCTCATACAGATTATCTTTTCCTCCAGGCAACAGGAACATTCATCTTGCCTGAAGGATGCAATAAGGAGCAGTGATCTCTTGTGCTCTATTACACATGCCCAGTTTTAAGATTAAAAGTTCTTATTCCCTATCCACATGGACACCACGTGTGTAGGGAAATGCTTTAATTAAATTCATTGAACTACAATGTGAGCCATAATTTAAATAATAGAAAAATGAGGTATTGAATTTCCAAGGATATTTCGTAATTGGAATGGGAACTGCTGCCAAAAGACAAAAAAGCTTGAGGGCAAACAGAGTCTATGGGTTTGGGCAACAGCAGGTAAGCAGAGCACTGAATCTGAGATTGATTAGATGGGTTTGTCTAGTTTGAAAAGAACAAGACTGAAGAATTGGCAGTGTCCTCTGAAATAAAACTCGTGTAAAAAATAAAAAACCAATATCTGAACACACTCTGTTGATAAACTAAAAACAGCAGCATCCTCTTCCTGTGAGGACACAGTCTCCTAGAGAAAAGGAGAAACACAAACATTGTTTTGTTCAAAGAAGTTACAGTTGGTTCAGGTAGAATTACTTATTATCTGATTAGGTCCTGTCTAATTTTTACTAATCTTGGGTGAAGATCCAGTGTGTGCTTAGAAAAAAGTAAACCTGTAAGATACAATCAGCTGAGGGAAGCCTTCACCAGGTGGGAAAACATCAGTGCAAACGAACATTACAAGTCAGGATTCCCACAATTTGCACCTGCCATTAAAAAAAAAAACTCCTTGCTGCACAATCTGGGCAAGCATCCTGGCCATTTGAGGTTTCTAGGTTCTCCCTTTGAACAAAATCAGCATTTCCTGTCCTCACAGGGCACTAAGCAATGGGGAGCTGGCAGTGCTGTCAGCACAGGGGCAGCAAGAGTGCAGAATTGTGAGGGCAGAAATTACCATGGCATATAAACACTGCCAGAACCAGCAGGGAAACACTCACTGACCATCACATGTGTGCTATGCTAAACAATATTTAAATATTCCTTACTGTCCAAAACCACAGCTGAAAATTAACACAACAAAATGCAGAGGTATCAGACCTAACCCATCTCCCAGCTCTGCAGCAACCACTGCTTGCTCAGTGAGAACATAAATATATGCATGAAATAAAAGTCTGAATGAAACTCTCAGACCCAATTCCCACAGGCTGCCCTAACATTAACTATAAATATTTTAACAGGTCCATTGTTCTAGCTTAAAGACAGAAGGACTAATAACATTTTACTTCAAGTTTTTCAATAATTGGCAATATTTTGAGAGCACCTGGAGACAAAAGCTCATGGGAGAATTACAGGCTTCATTGGAAACAATGAATAATAATTACTATTGCAGAGGGGAAAAAATGGATGATAGATATTTTTCTAAGTCCCATTAACTTAAACCAAGTACAGAATTTTGGAAGAGTCTCAGTCATGATAATGGAGTGTTCAGTGCTGTCAATATTAAATAAACTCACTGTCAGACCTACCCTTTCTACATCTCAGTCTGGACAACAGAACTAAGCACAGATCTAGATTTGGATTTTGAACCCAGAAATCCATCAATGATCAAATTTAATAATGCCAACCATACAGTTGTGAACCACCTCCAATGGACAATGAAATCACCTTTATAAGTAAGCAACTACTGCAAAATCCATTACAAATGCATAAAGGACCCAATTGTTTTAATTTCAAATTAACCAGGTTTGTTTCAAGTCCGAACCATTGCCAAAATAAACCAGAATGCCTATAGCTCCATCGTAGCACAAAAGGCAACTTAAGAATCCCTTTCCTGAGGCAACGATGGCATCTAATCCATTTAAGTTCACATTATTAGTTATGCAGCAATAGGAGAGGCAGGGTATTGGGGCATTAAATATTAAGTGTCCTTACACAGCTTTGAAAATTCCCCACAGGGTCAGATGCCTGAGCACCTACCTCACAACTAAGGGCCAGGGCAGGATGTGTGAAGGCACATATTTCTTATCCAGGCACACAGATCTGCAAACCCTCATTTTAAACAAGCATTTTCCTTCTGAAACCTATTTCAGACCTCTTCCCCTTTATTTTCCAGCAGTGGGCTCCAACTGCTGCCAGACCTCTGTTTGTGCAAATGGGAAGAAATTCCATTTCCCATTTAGCCAATGCCACAAAAATGACCCTCTTAATTAGCTTCAGGTTCTTTTCCAGAAAGTTTACTAGGGGTCAGAAGAGCAGCAAAGCCACAGAAGAAAAAGCATAGGAACAGCTTGGTCCTTGAACCCATAACTCCACACGAACCAGCTCAGCCTTCCCACATTGCCCTTTTCAAAAGGGCCACAAAGATAAGATTGCATTGGCTGCACAGCCAGGGCAAGCTGGGAAACTCCTCCTGCAGAAGCCCAGGAGATCCAAGGGCTCCAGGAGCACTCAGGAGAGGCAGTAGGTGCACCTGGACAGTAACACTCCAGCTACCAGGAATGCTCTGCACCATCCTCAGCTCCACTGCCTCTCTGTGCAGGAAAAAAGCTCCCTAAAAGTTCTGTTCTTTGCCACTGGCTGCAGTCAGTATCTTTGAAGACACTTACAGCTACTCATCTCATAAAACACTTAAGGCCCTTCTGATGCAAGTCTTCTTCAAAGGACTTCATACCAAACCTTTCTTTTTCTCCTCCTAACACCCTTGCAACTGCAAGTATAATGATTTCTGCGAGTTACCTGCACCCATCCCAAGAGCAAGACTGCAACATGGGTTATCTGGTGCTGCTTGACCTTTCCTAGGTAGCAATTTCAAACCAGAAATGTTATTGCCTTTCACTCAGCCAGTAACTGGGGGATGCACAAAGGCAGGCGTGCAGACACTCTCCGTGGGGGAAAAGAAAAGGAAAACACCTTCACAAAGGCAGGTGGGCAGACATTCTACATGGGAGAAAGAAATGGGAAACATCTTCAAAACACCATAATCATTAAACTCTAGGGGAGGGGGGAAAAACACAATCAGGCTTTACTGAGTCTGTCATTACCAGGGTAACTTCAAGCTACACATTTTCCTCTTACCTTTACCAAGCACTCGAGCACAAAATTCCCCAAACGCTGACGAGGCAGGGCACAGATCAGGCAGCCTCTAGGGATGCTGGAAACAGGGCCCATCAATAGCTCCAGGCACAGCAAGCAGCAAAGCAAGCCCAGAATCGATGCAGGAAACTTCTCAAGAGCAGCAGAGGACAAAGAGCTGGAAGTGTACAACACACCCTGGAGAGCAGGAGCCAGATACCAAAAAAACCACAAATCCAACACCAGCTCAGGAGGAAGAGCCAAATGTAAAATCAGTAAGCAGAGCTGGGGCTGAGCTTAAATAGGGCTCCTGTGCCCTATTTAAGGGGATGCAGGGCTCAGGTGAAGCTGATCAGGGACATCACAGCCACTTAGGGCACTCACAAGGAGCAGCTGGCATTACCTTTTCTGGAACTTCATCAGCATAAGCAATATGGGGGAAAAAAAAAAAGGTGAGCATTCAGTAGAATGCAATTCATTTGGGAGAAAATTCATTTATTCTCAACAATGAAGACACAGCTTTAGGATTTTCACTTTAAAGAAGAAAGAGATGCTCACCTCCACATTTAGCCATGGTTTTCTTTTTGAGAGTCTCCTAATAAGTGTGATATCATGCTTTTATGGCACTGGTGTACACATTCATTGTCAAATAAAGCATGTTAGACTATTTACTAGACAGATAATAATAAGTCATACACAAATCCTGTCACGGCCAGTTTCTGTAGTCAAGAATTCAATCAAAGATTTCAAAGTGAGGCCACAAAGATATTCTGGCCATTTGGTGCAAATTCTAGAGAAAGGCTTTAAGATGGACCACTCTTAAACTGAGCCAATTCTGTCTCACATCCTCATGGTGCAGGACTGGATTCTGGGTTTCATGAATGGTTGGAGAGAAAGAAAAACACAAGTCTCTTAGGGGAAGGATCCTGTTAAGAAATTGCCACAGTCAGTGGAAGCTCTCCAAAATGACTGTGATCTTCCACATCCAGAGCCCCCAGCTCTGCACCTGAGGCTCAGACTCTCCCATGATTTCAGCCCCAAGGTGTTGACAAGTAGCAGGTAACACACCTTGGCACCGCCCTGCACTGCCCCATCAGCCAGGGCTGTCCTTGCACTGCCACGTGTGCCAAGAGCAGATGATGGGGGGCAGGCATGCTTGCAGGAAAAGAGACACTGTCCCACGTGGAACTTATTTCCAACACCTTTTAGGCCTCTATTTATGTCTTGTTTCCAACAGCAGCTGCCCTCACCTTGTGGGAGTGGCTGTAGGCTCGCAAATATTTTGGACTGTGGCCACTGCATTGCCAGTGGCAGCTGCTCAGGAGGCAGCAGCTGGACACACAGATTGTTTAAAAGAGATCTTTGCTCTTGTGGACAGATGTCAGAGCTGAGAACAGCACCGTGGTTCTCTCCACACTGGGGAGAAAACTGGGTTTGGCAGCAAGTCCTTTTAGTGCCTTTTGCAAACATAGAGAGATGCAGCACCACACCTGCTCACACACGTGGGCGAAATATGGAGTTGTTTCATCAGTAACAGAGAATCTCTGTCACAGGAAAGTGGGGCCACTTAGAGACACTTTTCACTGTCTTTTCAAGCACAGCCTGGGACAGGGAGTGCCACAGGAAGAAGACAACACAGTGAGGGGCTGGACCATGAGGCAGAGAAAGAGTCATAACAGGGCCAATGAAAGTAAAAAATGAAAGATTTCCCAACCAAGTCACAGGGATTTTGCATTTTAACTTGTCCCAGGCTTTAGTTTTACAAAACAGTTTTCAAAAGCCAGCGTAGAGGGACAAAATGAACAGGCAGAGTTAGATGAGGCTTGGAACAGTGAGAGCTGAAATGCTGACTGTTATCTTGGGCAGTTCACAAATAGAATTTAGGCAAGCTGGGAACTGCTC